GTAGTAGGGTAGGGGTAGTTTATTGGACATTAATTTTTTTTTTTTTACTAAAGAAATTATTGGGACTTTAATTGGGCTTTAAATCTTACTTTGAACCCTTGAAAATGTAAGGATTTTAACACTTTGCATCCCCTAAAAAAACATTATTAACACTTTACACCCTCAAACTATAATAAACCACTCACAATGCATCAGGAATTAAACATTTAAAACTAAATAAGGTAAATCTTATTTTTTTCTTGGTTTTTATATTTGGTGTACGGGTGCAAAAATAACAAATTAAATGTTTGTTTTTCTTCTATCTGCAAGCTAATTTTGAGTGTGAAAAGTGCGAAAATAAAATAAAAAATCACCACTGAATTACGAAAAAATTATATTTTCTTACCAAATAAAATGTTGTCACTAAATTATACGATTAATGTATCTTAATTTTATTGTAGTTGGTGAAAGTATTAGATAGAAATCATGGAAGAAAATATAATTTTAAAATAGTTACTAACAAAATAGCTGAAGGTTTTTTTTATAAAATATATGTTTGTAAAAAAAATTATTTTATTTAAATATGTTGATGAAATGTATTTTTTTTTATTTTTGTACATTAGGCATGTGAAGAAATACACTAAAAATATTAAATTACCTTCATTTGCTTTAAAAATTCATACGGGAAGCATGATGCATTATTTATTATATTTTGAGGGTGCAAATTGCTATTAATTTCTTTCGAGGATGCAAAGTCCCAATTTGCTATATTACAAGGGTGCAAAGTGGGATTAAGCCACTTGATTTTTTATTTTATTTTTCATTTTTTTAATTGAAATATAAGAGAGGAGAGAGTGATTTGAAATGAACCGAAAAGAGGCAAAAAGTTAGTAGCGTAAGAAGGAAAGCAATAAGGTTTTAGGTCACTTAAAATTGTTTGGTTGGTGATATTATAATGGTGACAAAACTATTGTGTCATGAATGTTTATCGGTTACCCAAAATTGATTCCATATATACACATAATTCAGGGAATTCTGGGTGTGAGAGTTTTCTGCAAAGGAACACAATAATTTAATTGCGGACAAACATTATTCATATAGAAGTATAATTAAAAAAAAAATTGAATTAATTAATTTTATACAATGAGTAGGTGTGAATAGTGTATTTACATGCTCAAAATTATGGTGTAAATGAGACGAGCCGGCTCGCAATCTTCAGTAGGAGTGTGCAACGGCTCATAATTGCATAATCTCAAGAAAAAATGTTCACAATCTCGATATAGGGTTCCAATAAAATCCTAAATAAAAACTTAGGTACTCATGTTTTCTACGAAAAACGTCATAAAGTTATTAAGAGTGTAAATCTAAAAGAAGGGAAGAAGAATAAAAACGATGTTGGAGATTTGTCAAACCCCTGCCTTGTTCGTAGCCGTCTTCTTGTTCTTCTCTGCAAAATTTCTCCCAAAAAACTCCCCCTCCTATCTTCGAAACCCCCTTTTTATACCTAAACTCATGGCCCAAGTTTCCAAATTTTAGCGAAATTCCGCATATAACATTTCTCATACCACAGTACGAGAATTTGTACTAAAATTGAGACCGCGGTCTGAGAATCCAATTTTTTACTAGTTTAGCTTCTCATACCGTGGTATGAGAAATTGTACTATATATTGATACCGCGGTATGAGGCAGGAGAAGGTCATCTTTCTTTTCTTCTCTTCTCGAACTGGGGTATAAGATTCCTTCACAATTTTGGGATTGGGGTCTCATGCATAATGCAATGTTGATTTTTCGTCTGATCTCTCAACTCGTTCTGTCATTTCGTTTCTTTGCCTTCTAAATCCGAATTCTTCTCTTTTTCGTACATAATCAATTTCAACATGTCAACACATTTGTCATATCAAATCAGACAAAAATTAAACCAAAAGTACGCAGTAGTGAGTGCGTTTTACACAATTAACAACGAGATTCTAGGACATTTAATTATAATGCCATTTTTGTTTAAACATTATTTTTTAATTATAGAAACTTGTACATGATCTTGTTCATAGTAGTCTGATGATGCTAAAGTTAGATCACCTTAGATAGTTGATGTAGGATGAGCTGGAAGAGCAGAGTGGATCACTGGCTCACGAGCTTGATGACCCTGAGATACCTGCGATCACAGAACACGTGAACTAGGCCGGGGGTTGATCCGGCAGAAACCCCTCTGACGCTCAAGTCAGACGTGCTGATAGTATAAATGGTCCAGAGAATACATATTATAGTATTGCTCAGTTAATAGGATGTACCTTAAGGAATGAGTTCAAACCTTTATTTATAGCTTAGTTGAGATTGTCGAGCCCAAACCTTACTTGAAGGTGATTGGGCCTCGGTGATAATGGTCTTCGATATTGGGCTCGTGGCCCAGTATGTAAGGAAATTGTAGGCCCATTGGGTTGGCCCAATTAGGCATTCATAAT